GATGAATGTGGGGGTGTTAAGGCTCATCCTGCAATAACCAAACTGCGTGGGAGTTGTTCTTGTATATTAGGCAGTGGATGATGCACTCTCTGTTATGTTAGGGAAGCAGTAGGGCATTATGTCATCAAGCAATTTAACAATTTCTTCAGGAGTCTGGGAGCATGGAATCTGTGGCTGTTTTGATGACTGCTCATTATGTAAGAAACCAATTTCAATTTTAATATTTATTGTGATATTAAATATTATGCTTAGGCCTTATGTCATTCTTCTGTCCTTGCATTCAAGTCTATCGTAATGCTAATGCAATTCCTGGAGGAGAGAGTGCTTTTTGCTTTCTTTTTGGTCTCTGTACTCCACTTCGAATGTGCTACAGCCGTGCAGCATTGCGTAGTGATATTCGAATACACAAAGGCATAAAAGGGACTCATTTTGAGGATTGGATTTGCACTCATTTTTGTTTTTATTGCTCCTTAGCCCAAGAATCTCAAGTATGATTACAATAAAGCATAAAATTTTATTTTTACCAACTATTCATTTCTTATTATAGGAGATGAAAGATAACTACATGCTACGTGAGTGAATACAGAATTTTAAAGGAATTTTTTTGAGTGTATAATCATTATTTTTTATTACTCCACTGAACTGTTAGTTTAGATAGATGTACGCTAAAATTTTATCTTTGATTTGTTGCTGTAAAATGAATTCACTGGTGTATGTGTTGTATATCAATTGACATTAACAGGATGCTGCTTAAGGTAGCCAGTTTATTATTGGATCATTTCACTTTCAGGAATACAGTCCCTATTGTGAATTCATTTCTAATAATAGAGCAGCGCCAGAGTAAATGACCATAACACACAATGTAATAGTGAATGATTAATTATAATTAAAAAATGATTAAAATGTTCTTAACGGATCAGTTCTCTTGCCTCTGTTTAGACGTGACGAGCCTTCATCTCTTGGTTTAGCTTCTTTAAGTCTATCATTTTCTTTTTTCAGCTGTGATATTGTTTCCTGCATTACTCTCAAGTTTTCTCTTAAAAGATGCTCCCTTGCAGCACTTTGCTCCATCACTGCAGCAAAGTTAGCTTCATTGAAATGAGCCGTATTTGCAATGAGTTCCAAGCGATTCACACGATCAAGAATCTCTGGAACTTGCTCTTCATTGCTTTCATCAAAATGACTGTACTTGTCTACTCTTTTCTTTTCTGCTTCTTTCGACTTCTCTTTCTCCTGTTGCGCTATAATTGCCTCTAATTGCTTAATGACCTTCTCCTGTTGCATTGATGTCTCATAGCACTGGTAATATTTGTCTACTTTCCTTTGGAGGTCCTTGACCAGTGTTTGCTGTGACCTGTGAGCATCTTGAAGTGCAAGAAAGTCTTTCTCGGAATTATTTGAGCTAAGTAGCTCATTTTGGACTGCGAGGACTTTTTGTTGGTATAATTCCTTTTGTTCTCGCTCATATTTTAGTGCTTCTTGAAATTTCATGATTTCATGAATCAAATCACTTTTACTTAGAGCTTGAAGCTCTGGCAATGATTCCATATGCTCAATGGAATTTTTAGAAGTTAATGCAATAATCTGCTGCATCTGCTGGTCAAGTTGTCCTTTCAGATAGCCCTTCTCCTCTTGTAGATGTGCGTTTTCTCCCTGTAGTTGCTGAAGCTGGTCTGTCAACTTGTCAATAAGTTCTAGATATTGTGTTGCTTCAATGATAGAGCTGGCGTGGTGATCTAAATGTGATCCATCAGTAGACTCTATTACAGCATGTGGTATTAATAGTAATGAATGTAGCTCCTCATCTGTCATTGGTTGTAGAAATGGCATATTTATTGTTTTCCATCTAATAACAACTTCCAGTGATAAATCGGCTTGTTGCCAGTGTATTGACCATCGTAGGCCATCCATTGATGCATCTTCTATAAGAGATTGATACATGGCATTATCAATAGTTTGCTCAGCTAAGCAGATCACATCACTCTCCCACCATGCTTCAGTAGAGAGTCTGTCTACCGAGTAAATATGAAGGAGCAGTGTTGGCGAGTTTCTTTGTATGGACTCGCTGAATGTGCTGTCGTTTTTAAAAAAGAAATAAATTGGATTGTTCTGAGATTCGCTGCTTGTCTGAAGTAATGCAATCTTTCTATCAGTGAGTAATGAATTGACTTGTCTAAGGAACAAGGGTTCACTTGAATCATCAGAGTTTCCTTTGTACACAATTTCAACTGTTAGCACGAACTCTCTCATTTCGTCTCTGCTTGTTTTGACTCTCATGACAGCCAGCTCAAGGCCATTAAACTTTGTGTAAGCTGAAACAGGTGGAGTGTAGCTCAGTGAAGTGACAATGTGCTTACTAGCTTTCATCAGTGGATCAGTGAGAAGCGTGGGCTTGTCTATATCAAGTAGCCAGCATCTATGAATGTAAAAGAACGGTAGTAGCTCACCTACATTTTCATATGCTGAAAATATAGGCTTGGGTCTGCTACTCTTGAATAAATGAAGACTAAATATGTCTTGTGTGACAAACTGACTCTCTTCCATCAAAATATTTGAATATTGGAAAGCTCGATTGTGTGTTTGTTCTACATTCCATACAGCAAATGGATGCTGATGAGCAGAATTTATCCTCTCATCAGCTGGGTCTTGCTTAATCATAGGCTGGAAAGTTGAGAGAGTGTCTTCGGTTGCAAAAGAATGAAACATTACAGTCAAAACTGCTCCATTTTGCTGTGGGAATGTTAGAATGTCACTGACATGCATAAGAGTATGAGTGTTGGCTGTGCCAGCTGAGTTTAATGTTTCTTGGCTTCTTCCAAAAGCTATCTGACTCTCTGCTAGTGTCACGTTCATTAATGGAAACTGTTCTTGTGTTGATTCTAAATCAATCCAAGTCATCTCATTACTCAATTCCTGGCTTCTCCCTCCTCCTCCTCCTTTTCCTTTATACGTCGCAGTTGCTGTTAGCATTAGTCGCCCAATGTGCTCAGTCACTGGAAGGTCTTGCAGGCTTGAAGTAAGGAAGGCCGGTCTGCACTGTATCTGAGGCTCAGCTCCAAGCTCTGGCTTAAAAGAGAGAGGAAGAAGTGAGCGAGCCAGCTCAATTTGGTTATCAGCCACAGAAAGGTCAGTGAGTTTCATGAACAACGTGATGGTTGAATGAGGGTGCTGGAAAGTATATGTAAACCTCATCCATTCCTCATTTTTTGGTGTACTTTTCTTGCCGCGTTTCTTAGTTGTCTGAACTAAGGCGGTGCTGTTTCCTTCTATCACTCTTTTCTCTTCGTTCAGTTCGAGTATGGAGGAGCTAACGAAGCCTCCTTCATGTGTCTGGGCTGAGCAGTGTAGGTTGTACCGTCCAGGAGGGAGAGCTTCGGCTAAATGAAGACTGATAACTTGCACTGTGACTTCCATTCATTGAGAGCTGGAGGTGCTAGCTATGCAGCATCTAAGGGTGGAGCTGAAAGCCTGGAAACCGTTGCTAACGCCGTGACGTCATAACTTTTAATTTCCCTTTTGTTAACTTTAATGAAATAAAATGGCGGCTCTCCTTGGAGGAAAATTTCGAGTTTTTTCGAGATGGAATGCACAACTAAAGTTACCAGGAGAGAGGCACATAAGTAGCGAGATACCAGTTCCCGGACTTCCCGAACAGGATAAGGATAATAGGCTAGCAGTGTCAGGCCGATACCGAAATCGCAATCCAAGAAACTTTGAGCTTTTAGGAATGGCCAAGAAACCTCGAGGATTCGTTACATCACCTAATAGAGTTGACTATTACCACAGGTGACTCGGCAGGGCATTAAAAGTTATAATTATTGGGCGGAGTAGGCTAATTAATTAAATTGCTAATTAATTACTAAGTGTCACGCCCACTATTCAATTAATTTACATTAAATTTTATTCTATTCCAGACTAAATATAGTGATATCAAACCGCCACATCTCGGCCTACGTCAATCACAACAACGGTTTTAAAGTACTCGAGTCCTCAACGAGAGAGTTCTCAATAGCAAAGCACCTATACAAGACATATGACGTAGCAGCTGCTTACAACATAGGGCGGGTACTAGCAGACAGGTGTAAGGACACTGGTATATACAGACTAATGTGGGACAATAAGAGGAAGAACCCTAAGGTGAGTAGGTTTGGTCCTAACGTATGTACATCAGGGTTGTTGTAATTATTTAGAGTCATTAATCATTATGATTACAATTATTTGATGATTGGCAATGTAATGATTGGAATTAGAATTAGCTTTAACAATTGACTAAATCAATCATTAGAATTAGAATTAGTTTGAATGATTTGTAATTAAATTAGTAATTTAATTACATAACATTTAGTTAAT